GCAGTCCAAGGGACTCTCAAGAGTCTTCTCCAACACCACAGTTCAAAAGCATCAATTTTTCGGCACTCAGCTTTCTTTATGATCCAACTCTCACATCCACACATGACTACTGGAAAAACCATAGCTTTGACTAGATGGACCTTTTTTGGCAAAGTAATGTAATGTCTCTGCTTTTTAACATGCTGTCTAGATTTGTCATGTATCAGCCAATAGATATAGACCCACAGATACAGAGGGTTCCAGAAGATGGATTTTCAAAAATAAATGAAGCCAATAGATTCCCTGTTATGTTGGAACCTCTTGAATGAGCTTGGGATGAATTAGTCAGAGAACCTGGGAATGGTTTATTGATAGGTACACAGAAGAATTAACACTTTCAAATTGTGGTGTTGAAAAAGACTCTTGAGAATCCCTTGGGCTGCAAGATCCAACCAGTCCATCCTAAATGAGATCAGTCCTGGGTATTCATTGGAAGGACTGATGCTGAAGCTGAAACACCAATTCTTTGGCCACCTGATGTGAAGAGTTGACTCCTTGGAAAAGACCTTGATGATGGTAAAGACTGAGGGCAAAAAAAGAAGGGGGTGTCAGAGGATGAGATGGTTGAATAGCATCACCAACTCAAGGGACATGAATTTGAGCAAACTCCAGGGGATGGTGAAGAACAGGGAAGCCTGGTATGCCGCAGTCCATGGGGGTCACAAAGAGTCAGTCATGACTTGGCAACTGAACAACAACAAAAGAAAGACAAGCAAATAAACACAAGAAGCAACTGTTTACTCTAAGAAATGAAAAACACAAGCAAAAACAAAACATGTATAAATAAGGAAGTTAAATATCGTTTCACTACACAGACTTGGCTATGGACAATGTTCAATTAAAATATTGATGATAATACAGATTTTGACCATGAGTTTAATCAAATATTGGGGTTTCACTGCCTTCTGACTATGCAGAGAGGGAGTTTTCTTGGGGCTGATGGAAAATAAGAGAAAGGCTTCCTTCTACAATAGGAAATCAGATCATATCTAAACCTGAAAACTCAGACATAACATAATATGCATATAAGTAACTGCGAGATAAATAGAAGAACTAAAAACAGTGCTTCAGATGAGCACTGGAAAAGACGCATATAGGGATGAGCTGTGTACACCCTGCCACCAGGTTGGCAGAAGGAGAGGCTAAGAGGGCACCCTCCCACCAGGATACCTGTTGTTCAACACAAGAGGGTCTGCAACATGTATGGAGCATCTGTAGGCACAAAACATCCTGGGACCAGAATTCATATCAAAGAAACACAAGCAAAGAGGTGGAGAGTGCAGTCAAGGCTCTACAAATGCACCCAGAGAGTCTGCATCTCAATGTTGCTTTTAAGACAAAAAAAAAAAAAAAAACCTCCAGTCATCAAAAGTCTCAAGGACAGTGTGATAAACATCTCACAGTAAATAAACTAATAACCTCATCTGGGAACATCCTCTGCGCAGTAACGAGGAAAAGGAAGGTCTGCTGAGCCTCAGGTGAGGCACAGCATGCCAGGGAGGGAGATAAAAGCCCCAATGCCCAGAGCACCTCAGTCACTCAACCCACCAATCACACCGCCAACCAGAACACCTCTCGGCACAAACCCCCAGCATGGCCGACACCTGCTGTTCCAGGACCTGTGTTGTTGCTGCATCCACCCTGTCTGTCTGCTCCAGCGACTTGAGCTGTGGCAACTGGGTCAGCTCACCCAGTGACTGCATCGGCTCCTCCTGGCAGGTGGATGATTGCCAGGAGACCTGCTGCGAGCCCCCCTGCTGTGCCCCCAGCTGCTGTGCCCCGGCCCCCCGCCTGACCCTCATCTGTGCTCCAGTGAGCTGCGAGTCCAGCCCCTGCTGCCAAGCAGCCTGCAGCAGCTCCTCTCCCTGCCAGCAGGCCTGCTGTGTGCCTGTCTGCTGCAGGCCCGTCTCTTGTATACCTGTCTGCTGCAGGCCTGTCTGCTGCAGGCCTGTCTGCTGCAGGCCTCTCTGCTGCAGGCCCGTCTGCTGCAGGCCAGTCTCTTGCGCACCTGTGTGCTGCAGGCCCGTCTGCTGCACATCCGTCTGCTGCACTCCTGTCTGCTGCAGGCCTGTGTGCTGTGNATCCCAACAAGATAATGAAATTAAAGCATTATGGGGTTGGGAGAGATGTTAGATGTCATCTAATTCAATATCTGGTTTAGACAGCTGTAAGCCTTTGTCAGTTCTTCCTAAAGAATATAAACCTCTCTCTCCATGTTTCTGTTTATTGACCTTTCTTATACTATTTGGGTCAGAATTGGATGTTAAGTCACTGAGGTAATCAGCCGCTGGCACTAATGGCAAAGATATGTAAACTTTAAGCATGAAAGCTAGACACATATCAGAGAAATCTGTGCTGCCTTCATGGCTAATACATTACAAATAGGCTACAAGTACCAAAGATCAAAGCGCTTTTATGCCACTGGTTGAAACAAAACTTCATTTTAAAATTTCCTTGATAACTTCAAATGCACATTTTCATGCTTCCACTGAAACTTTAATACATTTCTAAGCTTCTGAAATTGTAATCAGTGATTATGTAATACAGTAAAATTAGCATTATTAGGTTCCTGGCATTTTAAAGAGAAGAGAACAAACTAGAAGTGGTTTTAGTCTGTGGCTTTGCAAAGCATGTGGACCAGTACAGTGGTTTCATCATTTCTGCTGAAAGGAAAAAGAAACAGGCCAACAGCTTTGATCAGTATTTCAGATTCTCCTCACCACCCACTTGCTTTTGAGGCAGTGATTGCCACAGATGCCAAGGAGCTCTAATTAGGACTCAGTCATCTAATACTGAGATTTTATGTGGAACCACTGCACATAAACTTAACGTTACACCTTCTGGGTACCAGAGACACAGATTTATTTTTTAAGTCATAAATGCTCAAACTCTCCTCTCCATAAGATCACACAGTCTCCTCACTTCCTTCTTTCCCTTTATTCATGCACTTTAAATTCCCTTCTAACCTCTCACCCTAATTTCCCTTCAGCAGCATTTCACTCTGTGGTTAACTCTGCTCCTTGAAGCTCTTTGCTCTTGGATTTCAATTGCAAAAACTCTCCTGGTTTCCCAAGTGAATTTCTGCCTGCTCCTTCTTCCTCCTCTAAATGTCTTCCAAATACATATGCTTCTAGGTGTGTGTGTGTTTGTGTGTACGTGCGTTCAGTTGTGTCCAACTCTTTGCAACCCCATGGACTGTAGCCCACCAGACTCCTCTGTCCACGGAATTTTCCAGGCAAGAATACTGGACTGGGTTGCCATTTCCTACTCCAGGGGATCTTCCCAACCCAGGGGCCAAACCTACATATCTTGCATTTCCTGCATTGGCAGGTGGATTCTTTACCACTGTGCCACCTGGGAAGCCTCAAAGTTTCCCTACTTCTGACTATTACAAGCATCACCACTAGAAGAGTCCTCAGCATATACCTGTGGCACTAGTGAACACAGTGCTTAAATTCCCAGACATGGGATCGCCCCATCAAAGTGTTTGCCGATTTTAGATTCTGGATGATATTGACAAATACCCTAAAAGGGACTTTTCAAAATTGTGCCCGCTAAGAATGATGTCAGGAAAGACAGGAACTAGAGAACTCGAAGGGTTCACTACCCACAGAAACACCAAAGAAACAGGCAAAACTCTCAGAACAAGCCACAGCTGAACTCTGGAAATGGTAAAAGTTTTACAACAACCAGGAAAAGGCTCCACCAAGAAAAAGGCAATTGAGGCAGGTAGGAGAGCTTGGTGGCATTTTAGCACCAATTTTAGAGCCTCACCCCACCAACACCACCACTCCACTCCCCCACCCCTGTCCCCCAGCTCAGCAGCAGTCTTGAAGACAGCAGCCTGTGTCCTGCTGAGGTTCCTGGTGCTGAAGGGAGCAAGCAGACCTAATTCTGAAAGAAGTGTGGCTGTCTGCTTTAACCTGTTGGTGGCTTCTGGAAGGACTCACACTAAGGACTTGCCTTCATTTCTCATAACTCAGAACTCTCTGGAGGCAGAAAGGTGACTGCATGGACAGTGTTTGTCAAATTAACTGGCTGCTATGCCAGGGGGAAAATATCAGTTGTGACAGACAAGTTACCCCAAAGAGCCTAAGACAAAGATCTGTGAAGTGAGATGCTTTGTGGAACAGGACTTTCAGATCTATCACAGCCTCCTGAGGGCAAGAAGAGTCTGAGCATTCTCATGAGGGGACACAAGTTCAGACAGCACCTGAGAAGGCCCTTTGCACTCACCTCTGGCCCCACCTCCAGGTCTGAGCAAGCAGGAAGTGGAAGTGAAGGCAGAGTCGTAAACTGTCCAGCTGAGATCTGAAAGCATCCCCTGACTCACAAACAGAGTACAACTACAAAGAGTGGAAAACATATTTTCGGCTCCAATGTTTCAGGAACTTTCTGTCAAACCACTACCTGACCACTAAGCTAATGGAACACGAAAAAGAGTACAGTCATTCCAAAACAAGTTCAGAAGAGTCATCAAACAAAACAAGTCACAACAATCAGCAACCACAAACTACAGGGAGGGAGGAAAACCTGACGTTCAGAATTATTGCACTATCATATTCAAGATCCCCCATTTCCATCAAAAATTGTGCAGTATGTAAAGAAAAAGTATGGCTCATTGGCACTCAAAAAAAGAAAGAAAGAAAGAAAAGCAATTAGTAGAAAATGTCCCTGAAGAAGGCCAGGAATTGAAATTACTAGACAAAGTCTTAAATCAGCTCTTAATGTACCCAAGTAGTTCAAAGAAACCATGAACAAAGGTTAAGTCTCACGAGATAGAACAGCGATATAGAGACAGAAATTACATTTTTTTAAAAGTACCAAAAAGAATTTTGTTGAAATGTGTAAAAACTGAAATGAAGAT